TCTCTGGTATTAATTAAAAACTAAAAAGGAAATCTTCAGTATCTTCCATTGGACGCGCAGCGTTAACTGCAAGGAGGTAGGGTGCAACTGCACTGAGGGTAAAACTTTAATTTTAATTTTTATAAAATCAATCTCCCTACCTCAAAATTCTACCATGTTCAATAAAATATATATATATACATATCTATATATATCTTCCATCTAGGCAAGCCAAGCCCGGAGCATGCACGGGGAAGCCATGGATCTTTGCACCATCGCCTTCACCGCTTTCGCTATTATCCTCTTTCTCTTCACCTTCAAGGTCCTTGCTACAAGTCTGAACAAAAATCAGAGAAAATATAAGTTCCATCCCGTGGGTGGCACAGTCTTCAACCAGCTTCTCAACTTCAGTAGATTGCATGATTATATGACTGATCTTGCCCGGAAGCACCGGACCTACAGGCTGCTCGGTCCGCTCAGGAATAAGATCTACACCTCCGAGCCAGCCAATATTGAATATATACTCAAAACCAACTTTGAGAATTACGGAAAGGTATGTGTTTACCTGACTTTCCCCTCATCTCTTTACTTCTTCCTTTTGGGAATTGGAGATTGAATTATATAAAAGCTACAGTAGGAAAAAAAAGGGTGCAGAATCAGACATAATATCTGAAAAACTGAGGAAGTTGATTCCTGGGCATTTGTTTTGTATTGGGTTTGAATCTTATAGTTGAAAGCACAATAAAAGTCATGAATTTGTAAACTGAGAAGCAATTGGTTAGTCATGTTGCCACAACAACCTTAAAAACAGAAAATTGTGTGTGATCTTATTTTGACGAGTTAAGGTTGCTGTAATTTGATTGAATGAAACACAGGGCTCTTCTGATGGAGAACGAAAATTATGAACCAAAACTACGTAAAACTAGATTTGCTCTTCATAAATGCTAAATGAGGATTGTTTTGATGATTATCTAAAACTGTATGCGCAGGGTCAGTACAATTACATCATTCTAAAGGATTTATTAGGTGATGGGATTTTCGCAGTTGATGGTGGAAAGTGGCGTCAACAGAGAAAAGTTTCAAGCTATGAGTTCTCAACAAGGGTCCTAAGGGACTTCAGCAGTGTTGTCTTTAGGGAAAATGTGGCCAAACTTGTTCGTATATTGTCTGAAGCAGCAAATTCGAACCAGATAATAGATATTAAAGTAAGTTCATAAGACATTGTGGGTTGGTGATGTGAGATAGAGTACCTCTTTTATGCTTCGTATGAACCTGTATTGCAGGACCTCTTAATGAAAGCGACCCTTGATTCAATATTTAAAGTTGCATTTGGAGTTGAACTAGACAGCATGCGTGGATCAAGCATAGAAGGCCAAAAGTTTAGCTGTGCTTTTGATGATGCAAGTGCAGCTATCCTTTTTCGATATGTTGATATCTCCTGGAAGATCAAGAGGTTTCTGAACATTGGAGCAGAAGCTACATTGAAGAAAAATATCAAAGTGGTCAATGATTTTGTTTATAAGCTGATCAACAACAAGATCGAGCAAATGAGAAACTCAAAAGATGATCCTTCGGTAGGTAAACTTGTGCTGCTTAAGTTAAGTGCTTCTGCTTCCTGCAAAATGTACAGTCATGATATGATTATGTTGTGTGGATAATGCAGAAGAAAAGAGATGACATTTTATCTAGATTCCTGCAAGTGAGTGACACCGATAC